CAATGGGTAAAGAAAGGAAATAGTGATAAAATCAGAACTTGGAGAGGATGGGGAAATTTTTTAATTCAGGACAGTGAGGAAGGAGAAGACAAAATTCAAAGAAAGCCAATGAATTTGGGGTCTGGATGTAGCACTTAAGGTCAGTACTGAATTACCATCATCAGTAAATTAGCTGAAGGTTAGCTTAGCTGCTTAAAAATTCATTCCAATCAAATTTTTTCCTTGTCCAGATAAGTACAAAGCTAGTTGAGATAGCTATAAGCTAAAAAGGTTTCCTTCTCTCCATTTCTCATTTTCTAGCTAACTCTTATCTTTGTACAATATCTTTTTGAGAATTGCTTTGGCCATTTTCAGATACGGAATGTTGTTCCACTGGGTCCTATCCAAATTTTCTGAGTGCTTTGAAAGAAAAAGGGCTGATTGAAAAGGTAGAGTTTGGATTGATCTGGAGATCTTGGACCCATAATTGTGATATTTTGGTCTAGGTGATGTCGGAGGGGACAATTTTCTCTGACACAACAAATAATGTTGTTGTTTTTTTGTCCTGTACTGGATTTTTAAATGCCAATTGTTCATTAGGTGGCAAAAAAAACTAGGATTAATAAACTCTTTATTCTCCTGTGACAAAAAAAGTAGACTACTCACAATAAAAACTTTAGTTTGCAAATGTCATTTGCTAGAAATACTATATCATTATAATAAAAAATTAAGAAATAAATAATGCATCAGAGCTCTTTATTTCTCTTCTTCCTTTCCTAATCTTCCACATACAATAAAAAGACTTAATTTTGGTACCCTCGTAATTCTGAAATTATTCGAAAGTCTACCTGTTTTATAACCACAATCTTTCCCCACAACAACACAGCATAAATATTGAAAAGAGGTTCTCTTACCTTTAATCTATTTAGAATGTTTTCAGTCTCCCATTTTGCAGTACTGCATAGATGATCCCAAATATGTTGTGTCTTATATAAGAGAAAAAAAACATAGAAAAAGATCACTAGAAGGGCACCCAGTAGAGATACAAAGCCAAACAAATCTCTTCATTTCCTCTTTTACTTAACAAATAAACATTTGACAAAGACAAAAGTTATTGTTCCCTTAGATGTCATTGGCAAATTACATATTCAGGGAGGAATGCATTTGTATAAAGCGTGATTAGAGGTTAATCAATACTTTATTTCTATTTCATAGCAACTCAATGTTCACATAGGTTATTTGGTTGTTCTTTGGCATTTGATTAGTTAAATTAAATTAATTTATTCTATAAGTGTCTGCAACAGTCCTTGTTACACAGCAAGCATTTCGTAACTATGGATACATAGAGTATTTCTTGAGAAATTGCTCTCAGTAGTCAGTAGGAAGTTTCTTGAGAAGTAGCTCTCAGTAGACTCAGTAGTAATTTCTCCGGCTGAAATGATTCATTAGCAGGCATGGGAATTTTTTCCTCTCAGAGCCCTGAGCCTATGATTAAGAAGTAATTTGCATACCAAGCATCTCTGGCTTCTTCCTTTCTGTACCCCTAGCCATTCCCACCACTGCTAAGTAATGAGACAAGTAATCTAAGAGCTTGAACAATGTGCCTACAAATCCATCTCTAAGGCTCTGCTCAAGTCTATTCTTTCCTGGGTCCACTGCAGGAAAACATGTACCATTTAAAACCTGAACCATTTGCTTCCATAGAAAAGCACATGAATCAAATACACACAACAAAGTCTGACACTCATCCTCTGTAGTAACTCCAAACACTATCATATTGGTTTGCTCAAAAGACAGACTTATCAAAAGCTACCGCCCAAATAGCTCTTGTGCTACAGGGAAGCTTAGAGATGAAAATAAGCCTTGCGCTCCCCTCAAGGATCTCTTTACCTGGGGGTCTTCTCTCTCACCTCTTTCCTCAGCAAAAACCCCTTTCTTCTTTGTTTCTTCCCCTGCACTTCAAAAAACTCTCAGTAATACCAATTATCACATTCTACTAATATTTGTTTGCATGCTTTTTGGGAACAGGCACTCTGGCTTCTTCATCTTTGAAGTTTCAGCACCTCACATGGATGGGTTTTCAGGTAGATTTTCTTTGTTCTTAATGAATCAATGGACGAAAATCACTTAGCCAGAGTGCATGTTTACATACAAGCCATGTAAACATTGGAAGTGTCTCTTCAAACTGCTGTCTACCCACCTAACAGTCCTAAATGATTCTTGCCATAGCTCATCACTACATGCAAAACCTAGAAGATATTTTGCTCAATTAATCTATTAAAATAAAAACCACATAATTTTTTAACAGGTGTGACCTTGAAGATCTAGTACAAATTTTTTAATTTCACAGATGAGGAATCTGGAATCCCAAGAAGTTAGGTCAAGGTCATATAGGTAATGAAAGGCAGAGAAAGGATCGAATCCAGGTCTTCCTGCTCCCTGCCCAGTGCTTGGTTTACTGTCCACAATCCAGATGCAGCATGTTGAGGTTACATTTCTGAGAGGCTCATGAAGAGGTTTGGGGAAGGCACGGGCAGTTGAACTAGTTTCAGAAAGAGGGAGACAACCTCCACCAGCTGCTCTATTTCTTTTTCCTCTCCAGAGGCATAAACAAAGGCCAAAAAGCTGTCTTAGTACAAGGAATAAGAAAGAGAAGATATTATGCAGCTAAATAACATTCAGCTAAGGAGATATAAAGAGGCCTTTTAGGACAGTTTCAGATTTACAAGCCAGGGTCAAGATGGGCTGTCCCAAGGTCAGATCTTCTGCAGTAACTGAGCTCCAGAATAGAACCTTTTAGACCAGGGCCTGCCCTGGTCTAAATCTGAGTCCCTGAGATAGACCTAGAATGTGATTAGCTCATGGCTTTAGGAAAAAAAGGAGAAAGCAACATTTCCTGAAGCTTTCATCAAGCAGCGCTTCATCCCTTAATTCACCAAATGTCCACTGAACATGCACTAAATATCAGGCAAGTGAATACTGTGGCTACAAAGATGAATGAAACAGATTCTCTCCCTGCTCTCAGGGTGCTCGCTGTCTGTGATATCTCCCACCAACAACTCTTTAGAGGACCTAATATGCCACACACACATACACACACACAAACACACACACACATACATTAAATATATTAGAAGCACATGAGATTCCTTGTCACAACTCAGGATTTGACACTGAGTATTTATACCCAGAACCCTAAACTTTCTGTCTCGTAACTAACACTGTTTAGGCTTTTCTACATCTCTTGTCCTGTGTCCTCAAGACAAAAAGCAACTGTGTCCGGATGCTGTGAAAGTTTATGGACTGTACCACTGCAAAGGTCAAAATGGACACTGCTTTAGAGCAGAGGAGAAATTGAGCAGCAAAGGTGCTTAGGCAAGAGGAAGGACAAATTAATTCCCTTATCACACCTTCCCTCTCAGAAAAAATGCAACAGATTCTCACATAATTAAGAGTTATCGCTTTTCTTCAGGTATCAAATTGTGATTCTGGAGGTACTCAGAATTAGCACTATATTTGCAATAGTTGCAGACAGAAGTTGAAGAATATTCACAATGTTAAGCAATTCTTATTACTCTTGAATTTATATTTATGTCAATCTAGACATAATATGTGTGAAGTATAATAAAAATTATTTATATTGGCAACTAGATGAACATTCAACATTAGAACTGTGAAGTTTTATATTTATAAACATAGCCAAAATTGAAAAATAAATTTTCAATGCTGGCGTTATTTAAAATTTGTTATATTCATTAATCATAATTTGTTTTTACCTCTTTTAATAAATTTTGAATATTTTAAAATAAATGTAACTTTTAAAACATATATGATAAATAATGTTTTTTTCTTTACATTTACTCTAATTGATATTTTTGCCAAAATATAATGAAATCGTATACTTTTGAGTGTAAGTACATTTTATTTCTATTCTTTGAGCTCATTTCTATATGACACTTAAATTATGAAAAATATTAGTGATTTTGCTAAAAGAGAAAAAATATATCTTACAGAATAATTATATAATTGATGAAATATGCATGTATATTATTCATCCAGACATCACTGGCCAATAATAGAACACCAAGACATGCAAAATAATAATTAAGTTTAGTCATCTTTAACATTGTGCCAACTTTCTATTATATAAAAACCATGGCTTCACCCACATTTTTATTTTGTCATTAAGAAGGTATATCTGTCAAAGTAGAAAGAAAGAACATATTTCATTTAACAGTTTGTTAGCTTGATTTAGAACATTTATGTGTGTAGACATATGGTTTGTGGGCCTCCATTTGTCCTCTCATCCCAAATGCTGAAATGTTAGGGGCAGCCGGTGTATGAGTCACCAAAAGTTAACATAAAATGATTGAAGCCCCAAAGTAAGGCAACGAAGTAAGAATAAAAATAAGCCTCTTCCCTTTTCTTGAAGTAAGTATTCTTTTTCTTGAATGCTGTCAGTCTCAGATGGAACCTCACAGGCATGTAAAGCCACAGAGACTGTTACTGTCCATAGAGCCAGTATCAGAGAAAGCCTGATTTGGCTTTGCCAGATGTTCCTAGAAGGACTGCTGTATATGGATGGATGTAGTTTGTATCTCTGTTTAAGGATTCCATAGGTACAAAGGATACAAAAATAACAAAGGAATTTTCAGGTTTAGAGGCTCTGCCAGTAGTTGCCATGTCCTGATTGTACTAGGACTTAAAGGCGATTAGCCCCAAAAATTCCCTGCTTGGCTATCCCGGATAGTTTCTGTGGGTCTGTTTCATTGCAGTGTGTTTACAATGGTCTAAGCAAGGCTATGGTGAAACACAATTATTCTATTTGTAGTTTTCATTTCAAAGACCTTGGAGAGAAATCCATTAATCTTCCATTTGTAATGTCTTACTTTTTGTTTGCCTTTTGTGAATCTTTTGATAAGTTTCTTGACTTTTTAAATGAATCTCACAAAACAACCTTACTCTTAGGTTGTACCTTATTCCTATAAGTAGACATGATTAAAGACTGGTAAGTTTTCACTCTTTGGCAATTTTTACACAGTTATTGTGAGGCTGGCTAAAATTTCTCTCAGTTGACACAGTGCCGGCCTGTGTCTATCTTCTGACCTTAATCATCTTTCACTTGTATTATCAGGCACCCATTGACCTTAAGAAAATTTAGAATAAACAAACAAAAAATGAAGAGAGTGACAGCGTGAGCAAGAAGGGAATCCTATTTATATAGTGCAAGCAACACCCCAACATACATTGTTTTCCAACTCCATCCCATCCAAAGAGCATGTTTGAGTGAACTTGAGTTGGGAGCCTTTAATCTGCCATGTCCTATGCACTGAATATGATTCCAGTATTTAAAGACATACTTCTTTTCAGACATTATCCCTAAATGCAAGCCAGCCACATATAAGGCTCAACTGCAGAAGCAGCATTCTGTCCCGAAGTTGAAGAAAACAACCTGTGCTAAGTATTTTGAGGACAGCATGCTAGTCTCCAAAGTGTTGCCCTCTTTAGCAATTTAAACAGTTATAGTCTTCACCTTAAAAACCAATTTTAGAAGTAAACGTTTATGTAAGCTATGAATTACAGTTTTATTCCCAGCCCTATCTGGCTGCAGGTACTTCGTGAATGGCATCTGTATTTGATTCTTACTTTGTGTCCCCTGCAGTCCCAACACAGTTCTTTGAACTGAGAGGTGTTAGAGACATTGTTTTGAATGAATTAATTAAAAATAAATTTCCAAGTATTGAAAAGTGTGTCTCTCTGGTGGCATCTGTAATCCATGTAATGAGGCAGTTAACAGATTGTTACTATCGTATTAATGCTAGCTGTTTCTAAGACCCTGTTAAAAACAGTATTTCTCACAATGTGGTTGGCAGATCACCTGCTTCAGAATAAGTCAGATACATTTAAACGTAAATACATAAGCTGCATCCCATGTCTCTTGATTAAGCATCTCTGAATGCGAGCCCCCAGAGCTCGCATTTCTCTG